GGATAACACAAATTTAAGCTGGTACCATCTTTTGATGGGCGTTGTGAGGGTGCTATAACCTTCCTCACACGTAACCGAACTCCTGAACCTTGTTCTGGTTAGTAGACCTGAACCTATTCTTTTAGGGACCCTTAAACTTAGGTGTTCCTTGAAAGGACAGATTCTTTAGGTGGCCAATCGCACCTAGATAAAAAAGATTGGTGGCAACTCCCTAAAAGTCAATGTCTAGCGATAAATCCCCGGATCTAGACGTTATGACAGCTTGACGACTCTACTGGGGAACTTTGAGAGTCAGGCCAGCAAATAATCTGTGTTATCCAAAAGCCTAATAAAATTGAACCTTTTTGTATATATGTGTATTATTCATTCATGTTTATTTACCTTGTTAATTATGTCATTCATATGCATATGCATAACATGAGCTCTACACCCGAGCTCCGTCCCTTTAGGAGGGAGTAAAGTACCTATTGCTTTCGTGAGGTCTAATGCCTTTGCAGTGGCTAGCGAAATACTCCCACTCAAATTGAACCTTTTTCGCTTGTAACCTGTAATGGGTGAGGATTAGGGTGTTTTACTAGTCTGTGATGGACAAGGATGTAAGAAGCAATTTGAGGACCTTTAGACTCTGACCTTAAAACCACATATAATGAACCTTAAGAATGCCTAAACCTAGGATAGAGCCCTTTCTACCCAATGATAGATATACCCTAAAATTAAGACACAAAAAGGGTGTTTATCTAATCATTTTGATTGTTTAACTTTGTATATCATTTTCATATGTAACATTATGCATCAGCATCACTTTCATTTCATCCATGGAACTAACTATGTTGGTTGTTTGATTGCATGCATCTGCATCATATTTTAACACAATCATTTGCATCCATTTCATACTAGATTTCATTCAGAAAAATGTGCATTTCATTTGAGCACTATACATAAAGCATAGCATAACATTTCTAATCATAAGTATGGTACTCAAGGTTCTAGGATAGCTCCATCTAACGAAATCCTGCCCATCGATACAATACAAGATCCAGAGCAAGGCAAATGGAAGAGAAAAGTTCCCATAGATTTGAAAAGATAAAAAAAACCCAAGAGAAGATCGAAAGTGAACTAAGCAAGATTTTGGAGGCTCTTAATAACATGAATAAAGGAAAAGGAGTTGAAAAAAATACAAGCCAGCATATTCCCCCATTACAAGAAGCGGCTAACCCTCTGTACCCTTCAGGTTTTGGCCCACCTCAGGCCCAGTCTGCTCAAGAGGTCCCGTCACAACACTTCGCATATCCAACATATCCTGGAATGCCATCAGCTTTCAACCCAGGGCAGTATAATAGCTATATAAATCCTGTCTTCACTAAAAAGGCAACATAACCAATTCCTGATCTAGATGATTTAAAAGAGAAAGAGAAGGAAAAGATGAGAATGGAAGTACAGGAAAGTTCCAAGATTAGCTTGCTAGAGCAAAGGCTAAGGGCTGTGAAAGGATTTAGCTTTTATGGATCAGTTGATGCTGCTGGGCTCTGCCTAGTCCTTGATGTGGTTATTCCTCATAAGTTCAAAGTATCAAAATTTGAAAAATATGATGGTACAAAATGCTCCAAAACTCACATCACAATGTATTACCGAAAAATGGCAGCTCATGCTCATGATGAAAAACTGTTGATGCATGTTTTTCAGGATAGCCTTACAGGCTCAGCGGCCAGGTGGTATGTTCAGCTAGACAGAACCCGCATTCACTCTTGGAGTGATATGGCACATGATTTCATCGATCAGTATCGACATATTATCGATTTGGCCCCTGATCGTTTGTCTTTACAGAATCTGGAGAAAAAGGCAAACGAGTCTTTTAAAGAGTATGCCCTGAGGTGGAGGGATGTTGCTTCTCAAGTACAACCTCCTTTGACAGAGAAAGAAACTACAGTGTTATTTGTCAGCACTTTGAAGTCTCCCTATTATGAAAAGATGATAGGGAATGCAACAAAGAATTTCGCTGACATGGTAATCTCTAGAGAAATTATTGAAAGTGCTATAAAAAATGGTAAGTTGAAAGGAGGAGAAACTAAGAAGGCATCAGAAAAAAAAGAAGCTGAAGCTCAAGTTGTGAGCTTTGATAGACAACAATTCAGGGGTTATCAACCTTATCCATCCCAAGGTCACTCTCCATACTATCTTGCTGTGAATAATGCCTCATCCTACCCATACCAGCTAGCTCCACAACCACCTTATTTTAGCCCTCAAGATCTTACATGTAGCTTTAACATTCAAGCTCCTGTAAGAACCCAAATTCGCCCTATTAACCCAGCAAGTGGTTCACGAGAACAACGAACTACTCGAGAAAAACCTGTATTTGATCCAATCCTTATGACTTATACAGAGTTATATCGAGAACTTTATAATAGCCATTTGATTGCCCCCAGCCATATGGAACCACTTAAACCACCCTATCCAAAGTGGTATGATCCTACAGCCCACTGCGACTACCACTATAGAATTATTGGCCATTCTACTGAAAATTGTACTGCTTTAAAGCATAAGGTGCAACGATTGATCAATGATGGAATGGTAAGTTTTGATCAAGGGAAAGCAACAACACCTAATGTTAGCGTTCTGAGTGAAGGTCAAGAACAGAAAAGGGTCGGAGAGTCATAATGAATTGAGGGGCAAGGTGTCAATAGAGATTCTTCACCTGATCATATAGGGGGATAATTTTTAAGAATGGAGATAAGGCTGGTTGAAGGTTTTTTTTTCTTGTCACTTTAAGATTTTTTTTCAAGTAATGTTGGATTTCTTTTTTTGCAATATGACTTCACTTGTTATCATCTTAATAAAGATAAGTTAATGCATTTCATTACATTTTTCTCTTTCACTTGACCATTACTCCATGCTCTGTTACCTTTCATAACTTTATACTCCCATTCTCAAATTTTGGATGATGAATATTTAGATAATGATAACAGTAACTCTGGGATTTAATTTTGGGAACTCATCCACATTAATATGAGAAGATGATTTGAGCAAAAAGTAAGCTGTTCCTGGAGGTGAAAGAGATATGTCTTGAAGATATGTAATCTTTTATACAGGATCATGAGCTTTATTCAATAGATGATGTTCAAGAAAGGTATTCATGATTGAGATGAAAAATGGCCATCTTTCTTTTACCATTTGAAAAACCATTTATTGCTACCCCTTTAAGCCTATTATGATTTTTTTTCTGAAGAACCCCAACCAAGGATCACCCTCTACACTGGGGGTAATTTTTGGAAAAAATCACAAAAGGTCTCAAAAATTAAAAAAAAAGGAAAAAAAAAAGAAAAATAAATGCCACACATGACTTGGGGCAAAGGAATGAGAATTCTTCGCGTGAGGAAAAAAAAGTAGTGAAATGATGTGGGGCAAATGCAAGTTATATGCATGATCTTTGGGTTTGAACCTTTTTAATACATGTTTGGAGCCTATATTCCTTTTTTTATGACTTTCGCTGGCCTAACGTTTAAATACCTTGAAAAGTTCATTTGATCAAGTGTGATATCAACTTGATGTCCCATAATGTTTGAGCAATAGGTATGCTAATGATTGAAGCAATGGAATCATGACTATATTGCTCTAAAGTTGGATGTTTAATAGATATCAACAAATGGATGAGTAAAAAAAAAAGTGATGAAAAAAAAGATAAAAGAAAAAAAAAGGAAAATGAGAAAATGGAAAAAAGAGATTCAAATTGAAAACCTGAAAGGGTGATTTTGGGAGAAAAAAAAAAGAAAAAGATCTAAGTCAAATGGCTCACATGAATATCATCTTATAAGAAAAACTGCGTAAATCAAATTAAACTTTAGATTCAATTTTACATGAACTTTGAATCTAATAAGCAATTACATTAAAAATGATTGCTACGACTTCCACACTATAGCTAGAAAGTGAAAAACAATGGCATCCTTCCATGGTCCTGCACACTTTAATCTCCAGGTTTTTACAAGTCGTAATTCCAAGCAGATTCTGCTGTGCGGCCAATATCATTTTTTTTTGGGGTAAATACTAAAAGGGTTCCAAAAAAATTAACCAAATAGCTAGGCAATGGATTTTAATGAACCAAATCATGGAATCTCTTGCCTTTTTATATCTTTAATCATCCATTGGTCTCATTCCAATCATCTTGTCTTCATTATCACTTTAATCTTTATTCGATCAATAAACTTAACCATTACAAAATATAATACCTTTGCATTTATTGGTTAGTACACAATCATTTTCTCTTTAAAATACTTTATTTTAATCTTTATTCCATAAGTACGAATATAATTCTTCTTAGATCGTGTGAATCATGTTGAATATAATTATTTTTTTTTATTTTAAGCTATAATTAATTAAAAAATTGCATACATACCTCCAGTTGGTATGTATATTACTGAACATATTCAATAAAAATAAAACTAATTGATATACTAAACTTGACAAGTCTTTTCATGAAGTAGGCTATAATATGAGAATAGAAGTTTGAGTCTCGATCTATTAGATATTACCTTTCAAATATAATATATAAATCAGTTGAATTATTTTGTGAGTGAAAAAATATTATTATCTTTCCAGCAAAAACGAAAAGACCTATAGTGATTCATTCTAAACAAATTACAAGCACAACCAAAAGAGAATAACAGTGAGTAGAAGAAAACGCGAGATTTTTTTTTTTTTAGCGATATAAAATTTTTGGATTTTTCCAGAGTATAATTTTTTTTTGATCGATCCGTATTATTCCATGAATTTGGTCTTGACTATCACTGTTTCAAAAAGATAAAGCATATAAATTAATATGACAAACTTGTTATTTTAATAAAGTATAAAGAAGATTGGATCAATCTAAAGTTAAAGCTAGAAACTATCTGCAGGGTAGTGTAAGGTATAAATTCTGCAGCTCGGGTACCCCAATATAGCATGTAGAAACAGAGAAACCTAACTCACCATTTCTTCTATCCTTTCGTCCTTCGTTTCTTCAGGAACTCTAGCCCCAACCACCCACTAGATTACCAAATTCCCTTTAACTGTCGTTGTGTTACCTCCTTTGAACCGTTAAGCTAGCTGGTAGAATCTGATGACGAGCAAGCAGGGGTACCCGCGGGAAGTGACAATTTCAATGCCTGAGATAGAGCAACAATCGGATTTCATAAGCGAAGAGAGGAAGAAATTGAAATCAGCATCGCTTGAAATCCCAAACCGGAGAATTGATGTACCTCAAACAACCAAACCGCTAATACAAAGAGTTACACCTCTCCTAATTAGCGGTATCAAGGAGAACTTGAAGACATATTTTGAACCGAGGATGGTAGCCTTCGGCCCTTTGCATCATGGCAACCCGAAGTTCGATCCGGCAGAGCGAATGAAACGTGAATGGGCAGCTCTCTTCATACAGGAGAACCAAACAAGTGACAATGCTCTATTCCTCGAGATTAAAGCAGAGATACAGGACCTTAGGAAGTGTTATAAATGGGAGGACATAAAAGACTACGATGATGATGAGCTAGCTTGGATGTTCCTCGTGGACGGTTGTGCGGTGTTGCATACCGTAAAGTCCATCGCTGACCCTAAGAAGTTATTCATTTCAGAAAACGTAGATCTGTCATTTGCGCAACTTGATTTATTCTTGCTAGAAAATCAACTTCCTTACAGAGTCCTCAAGATATTGATTGGCTTAACCAAAGAACCCAGAATGTGGGAACTATCAATCACAAAATACATGAATTGGAACCTTATGACAAATATACCAAGTAGGATACGGAGCGAACAACCGGAAGAAGAAAAAAAAAGGCAAGATTACGCTCACCTTCTGGAGCGGTTGAGGACAGAATTATTCACAGGAATAGTAGAAAAGTGTAGCAGTGGCGTGATTGGTAAGATGCTTTTTTGGTGCGGAGACAGCGCAAAGAATAAAAAGCTAGTTCTGAGCATCAAGGATCTTAAAGAATCAGGAATTCAAGTGAGCCCCAACATGACAGACAACCCTCGAAACATTTCCTTCCATTGCAACATTCTGGGAAGCCTTAAGATGCCATGCCTTGGGTTGGATGGGCCAGCAGCCTCCAAGTTCGTGAACTTGGTAGCTTTAGAAATGTGTCGAGATTTTGATAATGATCATGCCGTCTCCTCTTACTTATGGTTCATTTCTACTTTGCTTCAAACACCAGAAGATGTTAAGGAGTTGCGAGTTAGAGGTGTCCTTTACAATTTCTTCGGCAATGATGAAGAAGTGGTTAATCTTTTCAATGGGATAAGCGAGGCCTTGACGACACCAAATCTTCTTTTATATTTTGAAGTCATGGAAAGTATCCAAAGATACTGCAACTCGTGGTTAATACGTATATCTTCCAAATATTTTAGTAGAAACTGGAGTTTTCTTGCTTTTTTGGGCGCCATAGCAGGACTTCTTCTCTCTCTTCTTCAGACTTATTTCACCATCATACAGAAGAAGTAAACATCACTAGTATTTAATTAGTTGGTATGTGTGTTCAAATTCAATAATAGATTTATGTACTCAGAAAATGTATGCTTTCATCGTTTCAAAATGTTTGAAACCGTCTCTTTAGCTTTGTTGTGGCAGATTGGTATGGATTTGATTTGATGTTTGATTGGATAAATTAAATAAATATATGGTTAAGGTTTGCTTTTATGTATTTACTTTTAACTCTGTCTTTTTATTTACTTTTATTGCTGCTTTAAAAGTTCTTAAAAAAAAAAAGAAAATAAATACAAAGTAGAAAATCAAATTATAATAATTGATTAAATGAGTAATGAAACTAAAATGTAATGCCAACTCTAAGATAAATTTTTTATATAAAATAATTAAATTCGTTCATTATGCACTTCAAAAGAATAATTCAGAATTAATTATTTTCTTTTTGCACTATTCAAAATTAATTATTAACTAGAATGTATACTGCTTGAGTTATTTTTTTATTTGTTTTAATATATTTAAATTTAGTGATCAAAAATTATAATTTATAAAAAATATGTATCTATATAATAACTTTTTTCATATATTAATTTAATAACATTTTTTAATAAATAAAACTTTTTGCATTCATTTAACAACTAAAATTGAGTACTCTTACAAAACAAATTTAATCTAACCTATCATTTATCATATAGATAAATTAAGTTAATAATATTAAATTTTAAATTAAAATAATACATTAAAAATTTATGATAAAAATTGTATTATTTTATTTTTTACATAGCGATTTGTATATTCAAAATTTTATGTACGTCGATATAATTATACGGTGACAAATTCACTTGCAATGCAAAATCATAAAATGTCGATTGGATGTGAAATTGTCTTATCGAATTAGAAGGGTAAAAGTGGAAATTTGCTAGGGGAATGGAGGGGATAACAGTAAGAAAAAGCAGAAAGAAAATGAAATGAAAACCTAAAGCAGTAATCAAAATTTACTTACAGAAGGTTTATGGAAATCTCCCATCCTTTCCTTTGAACATCTCCCCTCCTACAATTAACCAAGCGAAATCCTCTTTTCTTTCTTTGAAGAAAGCCATGAACAACAACAACAATCCTCCAAATGTCACTATGAATGAAACAAACTATCTTGCACAAGAAATATTAGGAATTGTAGAGGGACCCCAAATGTCACTATGAATCAAGTAAAAAGGAGTAGAGCTTTTTTTGTTACTAATTGAAAAAGAGAAACGTCTGTGTTTTGCAAGTTCACAAACATCACAATGAAAATCTTTGACATTTAATCCTTTGAACAAAGAAGGAAACATGTTTCTCAAACTTTCAAAAGAAAAATGTCCAAGATGAAAATGATAAAGTCAGATTTTATCTTTATTGGAAGATTTTTCATAAAGAAATGATAAAGGTAAACTATTCTTGATATTACTTGTGTTATTTGATGTCTTAAGATAGTATAGTCCATCCTTCTCTTTAGCAAGTTCAATCCTTTTTTTCGAACTTTGGTTTTGAAATTCACAATAAAAGGGATAAAAAATCACTTTGTAGTTCATATCTCTAGTAAGTTTTTGTATAGATTTTAGATTATTAGACAATCTAGGAACATGAAGAACATTTTTAAGAATAAATGAGGGATTAACTTGAACATTTCCTAATCCTGCTACTATAGTAAGTGAACCATATGGAATAACAATTTTCTTATTACTAGGACATAGGGTATATGTATTAAACTTCTGCGAAAAATGTGTCTTATGGTCTGTGGCTTCTGAGTCAATGACTCAAGAACTCGTAATAGACATAACTGAGACATTTAATCCATGAGAATTATAAGTTTTACCTGAACTAGAGACCTTACCCAAGGAACATACCACAATAGGCTTTTCAAGGATTTTCAATAAGTTTTTCAGCTTTTCAATCTCTTTTCTGTTGAATTCTCCTTGTTTCTGAGACATCTGTAGTATTCCGGTGATTTTTTTAGTTGACACTTCCTCAAATTGAGTGATAATGATATCTTTCTTTGAACTGAAATAAGTCTTAAGATATAACTAGAAATGACTCTTAGCAATGAAGGCTAAAGAAGGAAAAAAAATAGAATGGCTATGAAAGCCTTAATAGGATTTGGCAATGAAGGCCTAAAATAAAAGTCAGCAATGAAGGCTGAAAATTTTGCTTTCCAAGAAGAGGTTAAAGCTTTGATACCATGTGAAAAAACTAAGAAATAAAATTGTGTGAAAAATGAAAACTGAATGTATATTGAAAGAAACTGCTCATTTAGAATTATACAAAAACTTTAGGTTTATATACAACTAACTAGGGGTTAAACTAGGAACCTAAATCTTCCTAAAAGTTGATTCTATAATTGAGGGATTGTCTATCATAATATTTTATCCTTAATTTTAAGGATACAAATACTTAATTCTAGAGATACAAATATAAATATACAAATTACAAGATTATAACCAGTTGTAAATAAGTATTTTTTCACAATTATTATGTTATAATTTATGTCAAAACGAACATATAAATCACAATTTTTTATTTTGTCAAACTCATATGATTTTTATCCAAATTTTAAACCATATAATTTTTATATTAGGTCCGAAGTTACAATATTTAGTTGTTCTATGATAGAGAGTCTTGTCCATTAGGTATTCATTCTAAAGTCTTCTTTTTCTTTTTTGACAATTCCTTTATGAACGCTTGGCGGCCTCGTTTTTCTCGTTCACTTTCTGAATTTTCAAAATGATGGCAGTGATGGTATATGTTAGATCTCAACAATTATCGTCACTCAAGCACCTATTCCGGTTAAAAATCAATGGAAAGAAATGAGTAAAAAAGAAGTTGCATGGTATCTTCTTTTACATGTACGAAATAATATGAACTTCGTCCTCATATGTAAGTATACCAAGATCAACAGGTAGAAGTCAACAATAACAAATTTTTTTTTTTTCATATTTATGTTTAACCATCGTCAAAAGATTATTCTAATCAATCATGACATTTGAAAAGGAGATGGTCTTAGGCATGCATTTGAGACCCTCCATAAGGGGTGAGCAGAAAGTAACGAGAGGAAGAAAAAATGAAGTAAAAAAGAGTTTGAAATTAAAACAAGGATGAGCTGAACCACACAGGCGATGTTTTACAAAGAAAAGACACCAAAGGAAGAAAGTTTAACAAGTCCTGTTGGAAACCAACTAGGAGTATGTATCCAATGGCAGAGTTAGAATATCGTTTATGATTGACCTAGACGTTGAACAAGAAGGAATAGCGGAAGGTTCGATCATGTCATCCATATCAGAATCTTCATCCACACTTTGTTCAATAGCATTAGCTTCTTCTGATGCTCTAATCGTCTCCAGCTCCATTGCAACTTGTTTCATCGTGGGCCTCTTTTTTCCATTAAGATTCAAGCTTCTTTTCGCTAGCTTTGCAACTGCTATAATCTCTTCTTCTGTACCATTATTCCTTACCATTGGATCAAGAATGTCAAATAGGGAATTCTCCTTCATTGTAAGCAGAAAAAAGTTTACCAAGCTTCGCACTTCCTCTGATTGTACCGAGGAGATGGGTTTTTGTCCGGTCAGAAGTTCTACAAGAACAACCCCAAAACTATAAACATCACTCTTCTCTGTAAATTGACTCGACCGAAAATACTCCGGATCCAAGTATCCGAATGTTCCTTGTACTTGAGTGGTTAGATGAGTTTGCTCAAGTGCAATTGATCTTGAAATTCCAAAATCTGACACTTTTGCTCTGTATTTATCATCCAAAAGTATGTTGCTAGATTTGATGTCTCGATGATAAATAGGGACAGAAGCAGCTGAATGCAAATAGGATAAAGCATTGGCAATTTCAATTGCAATTCGTAAACGCATTTCCCATGTCAATGGGAATTCTTCATTTTGTTCATGTATGAGTTGAGAGAGTGTTCCATTGGGGATGAACTCATACACTAGTAAAGGAACCTTTACCTCCAGGCAACATCCTAAAAGCCTAACCACATTTCTATGGTTAATCTGTGATAAAAGTATCACCTCATTGATGAACTGTTCAAGCTTCTTTTCATCAACTTTCTTCTCGTCCACCATTTTAGACTTCTTGATTGCCACAATGCTTCCATCAGTTAACATTCCTTTATAAACAGTTCCTTGCCCTCCTTGACCGAGGATTCGATTCTCGTTATAGTAATCTGTCGCCTTTTCCAACTCCTTTGATGTAAGCAACCTTATTTTTTCAACATTACCTTCATTGCAGGACAATTGTTGTTGCAGAAGTAAACCTCCATTCCTCTTAAAGTATTTTTGCTTCATCTTGATGGTTTTTCTCCTTTTTAGTACTTTGTACAGATGCCATGTGCCAAGTAGCGCAAGTATTGTCCCAATACTAGTGCTGCAACCTGTATAGGAAACATAATTTATTATGCAAAAGGTAAATTTGCAAATTAATATATATTAAGAAAAACCACATGCAATTCAACATGATTCATATTTTCTATCTTTAAGAAAGTGAATTTATCAGCACTTGAGCTTTATTCTAGTGGTAAGAGGGTACTGCAATTTTAGTATGATCTTTTGTTTAACGAAGACGTAGTACTTCCAGCTCAAAAAAAATTAAAAAATAAAATGTTAAGAACAGTCTTTTCACTATAATAAAATATTTAATGTCATGGTATTTGATTTTAAAAATTTTTAATTAAGTACATGATTTATGAATCTATGAATTAATATGATATATTTTTTAATATAATTAATTATAAATGATAACACATGATGAATAAACAGTTCTCTAAGTATTATATTAATTAAAAAATTCATAATTTAAATATCGTATTAAAAATTTTTTAAATATTATATTAAATATTTTATTATAATTTAAAAATCATTTGTAATATTAACTTTAAAAAATGAATTTAATGCATACCTATAATGATCGCCAAATTCCGAGACTTTGTAGGCTTCTCCATCCGGCGTCCTGGAAAACTAAATGAGGGATAGCATCTAGCTTCGTCACTTGAGTATTCATATGTGTCAGGGCATTGCGACAAACAATAATTATCGGGAG